GACAAGGTTTTGTCATCATTAAACTTATATTAAAGTTTTTCTTCATTACCCATTCAAGCCGTCTCCAGCCATTATTAGTCTCAAAGTGGGTTCCTCGTCATCGAATTTTATTTCAAATTTGTAATAGCCATTTTGAAATTAGGGGCAAGGGCTGGTCCCAGTTATTTAGCTTGGAAATCTGGTCACCCTAATAAAGAGATAAATTAACACTGTAACTTATGTAGATTTTTTGCTTTAGTTTAGTTAGGGTTAAGCTTTACCATACTTAATACTATCAATAAATAAACTTATAATGTTATTCTATGACCTAACGTTGGGCCTTTTTAAAAACTTTGATAAGCTTTTAATATTTTGTTGTACAAAATGTCTACTAAAGTATTATTACATCTGCATTTTGTTTACATCCATTGAAATGAAGTGCATGCACATGCATATTTAAATAGGAAGGTGTGCATGTATTTTCAGGATAAGTAATAGTTTGAATATTTATGTTTAATTAGCAATACCCATTACTAGGTATGGATTTTTAGTTCTGATCTATACAAGCAGCTTGCTTTGATGAGAAATTAATATTAGTTAAGCCTAATTATCAACCTTGAGATTGAACACCAGAGAGCACATACAACATTTAGGTTTAATTATCAAATTATGGTTTGGAAACAAGAGGGCATAAACTGTAAAAGACAAGGTTTTAATTACTCTAAAAATAAAGTATAACTGCTGCTTTTTGTGACTGTTATTATTTGCTGCAATCCATATTATGTGAAAGAGTTTACCTTCTGGGATCAGCTCTTCAATATCTACAACTTCCGTTTCATTATAGTGAATGTACTTCACCATATACTTGTGGTCATCCAAGACATCCTCTACCCTTGCTCTATACCACAGACCATCAGAATACCGTGCCAAACATGGAGCATCTCTTTGTAACACACTTAAAATAAAATGTCTTATTTGTAAAAGATATGCAGTATATCTAAATCAAACATCTGTTCAAGACAAAACCAAGAAACTGTTTTGCTACAAATGTAAAAAACTATAATGAAATATGTGTAATGTATCTCATTTAAATAAACTTGTATACTGAATAACACCAAACAACCTTTTCTGTTACAAAATTCAAAACTGTAAGTGATAAAGTGCATTACATCTTATACACAGATAAGTAGGAAATAAAATCAAGAAACTCTTTTCTGTTACATAATGCAAAAACTGTAAGTTCTTAATTGCAGAATAATTATGGTGCATGAGACAATTAAAATATGTAGAATCACACAAATGGAAGACTTTGATTGAATATCAAGAAACAGCTACATATAACTGCTTGTCTCAGTCAAATAGCAGCAGCCAGTTTTAAACTGGAATAGAGTAAGATCCTGAACAATCATTGTAATGTTTCATTCAAACAGCAGTAGCCAGTTTCAAACTGGAATAGAGTAAGATCCAGAAGAATCATTGTAATGTCTCAGTCAAACAGAAGTAGCCAGTTTCAAACTGGAATAGAGTAAGATCCTGAAGAATCATTGTAATGTTTCAGTCAAACAGCAGTAGCCAGTTTCAAACTGGAATAGAGTAAGATCCTGAATAATCATTGTAATGTCTCATTCAAACAGCAGTAGCCAGTTTCAAACTGGAATAGAGTAAGATCCAGAAGAATCATTGTAATGTCTCAATCAAACAGAAGTAGCCAAAGTGTATATTGTTGTGTAATATACATGATGTTAACGGTCAAGGTTACGCCTGTGATGTCACCATTAGGTGTATTTAAATAGCATGTATTGTTGTGTAACATACCTGATGATGTCATGTTAATGGTCAAGGTTATGCTCATGAAGTCACTGTTAGGTGTACATAAATGGTGTGTATTGTTGTATAATGCACCTGATGATGATGTTTACAGTGTTTTAGTTATAGAAATGCCTTCAGTACTTTTTTTTTTTTACTAGTATGCATAACATGTATACCAAGCTAACTTGGGTGGTAAAAAAAATATTGTAAACTTTATTGTTTTTACTGATTGGATAACCATACAAACGTACATGGGTAAAAAACACACCAAAATAAGAGAAAATAGGCATGGTTATTCAAAGGGATTTGTGAGAGGTAGGAGGAAAGTAAAAAATCTATTAAGTTTTTCAAATATTTCATTTCATCATACAATTTTTTATGATAAAGCAAAACATGAACATAATAATAGGAAGCATTTATTAAACGTTTTAGAATCTTCAAAATTCCATCATCAGTAATATAGAGGTCATATGCTTGCCAACATTCTTCTCTGTCACCACAAACAGAACTGGATTGAACAACTGTCCTTTAAGCTTCAAACCTGTTCTCTAAAGAAGGTATGTTGATTACGTTGATGATACATTCCTTATTTTCCACCATACTGGTCATATCCAGTACTTTCTTGACTACCTTAATTCACAATACTCCTCTATACACTCCACTCATGAAGTTGAGACGAATAACTTTATCTCCTTTCTGAACGTTCTTGTTAACCATGATGCTAATGGCTTTTCAACTTCTGTCTATCGTAAAAATACATTTACTGGCCTTTCACTCAGTTTGACAGTTTTATACCCTTCACTTTCAAATGAATCTTATTTTCTAACTACTAAACAAGGATAACAAACTTACCCCTTCTTATCTAGCCCTTCACAAAGAAATCTCTTCCATGCAAAGCATTCTCCTTCGATAAAACCAAATACCCTAAACATTTCTTGGAGAAAATAACTTTCTCATTCTTAACTAATTTGTTTGTCAAACCACTTAAGATACCCATTGTACTCAAACTTCCCTTATACACCTGTTTACCATTTCTTGAAAGACAGCTCTCTTATCATGACACAGTTGAAAAAATTATGTAACTCTTACTATCCTCCAAGTGACTTACAAGTTATTATGAAATCAAAATTCAGACTAAAATATTTTTTCAGCTACAAAGGTCGTTTGTTGTCTGCCCATTGTTCACGTCTCGTCTACTTATACACACGTGGAGACTGTAAGACCTCCTATATTGGTGAAACCAAACATCACCTTAAAGTACAAGCATGTGAACACATGGGTATATCTATAAAAACTGTTATAAACCTCCAATATCTATCAATACAATACAGAACATCTGATTTCCCTCTAAAACTTTAAAATTCTCTCAGCAGCCAAACATGATACTGAACTTCTAATAAAAACTCTTCTTCTTCCATCCATAAACAACACACAGTCTTCACTGGATTTAAATCTATTTTAATTTAACTATTTCATTTGTGCCACAATTTTTCATTTTCTCTTGTTATACTTTGTATATTCAAACTATTTATTTCTTATGTATATCATATTTCTGTTGTAATTACAAATTTTATTTGTTTGTTTTGTACCTTTAGATTACTGATGATGGAATTTTGAAGATTATGAAATGTTTAATAAATACTTCCTATTATTACGTTTGTGTTTTGCTTTATCATTAAGTTACATTTTACAAAAAGTGAGTCGATTACTACTATACATTTTTTTATAGAATTAAGGAAGAGTTATGTATCCAGAAAATTAATATATACCAAAGAAAGTTAAACCAGCCAAAACTTAAATTCTACAAGGTGTTTTAATGTGTTTTTTAAAATTTATCCTTCCTGTGAAATTACTATAAAATTATTATTTTCACAAATATGACAACACACCTGTAGTCAGGATCTAGAAACTCTCGCAGTTCAGGCAGCTTTATGCGCTCTCCATGTGAGTACCTTAATTATTCAGAACAAGAACACAGATAAGAAATAATACATGTTATAAAAGTTAGTTTAAAGTACAAGAAATAAGTGTATGAATACCAATACAGTTTATCACTTCAGAATATGACAATGTTGTAATACTACTAATACAGTTTCTCATTTCAGAAAATGAGTGTATGAATACTAATAATTTCTCACTTCAGAAGATAATGTGCTTGAATACTAATACAGTTTCTCATTTTAGAAAACAAAATACTGGAATCCATTACCACCTGAAATGTATGTGCAATAGAGATATTCAGAAGTACAGTGCTTAGTAAAAAAATTAAGTGATATTTGGGAATTTTTATTTAAAAAGTCTATATACAATAATATATGCAATTAAATTAAATACAAAAGGCTGGTACAAAACTGGATTTCAAATGAATATCAAAATATTGTAAAGGAAGTCCAAACTGACTTAATTCTGAAAAGGCTTTTAGATTTCCATTGTCTGAATACCAGCTTCAGCAAGTAGACTCTTGATTTCCGAGACACAGCTAAGATAGTTTGATGAAACTGTCGTTGAAGTATTACATAACTTTACATTTCACAGAAAAGGCTGTGTGAGTGCTTAACCTCAGAAACATTGTAAGTATTACATTGAATAATACAGCAGTGTTGATATTATGTTGTTTATGTACAAAACATATAATTTGCATAAAATTGATAAATGTGTTTATGTGGGTTAATGCAGAGAATAAATGTTTTTAAGGTTAAAAATTTAGAAATGAGCTGCTAATAATAATAATATCTCTAACAATCATCTTAAAAACTAGAGAAATGAAGAGATTAGAATAAATCTTCTCACAATTATTTTAAAATTAAAAACTACAGAAGTTAACACTTTTCTATTCTGAAAATGTATTTCTGATAGATACCTCTATACACAGAAATACTATCTTCCTGGTATGTCTGCCTATGAGATATGCATGCCACTGACCTTGGGCTAACTCACACCTAAATACACGAGTTTAATGTGAGCTGTGCTAGTGCATGATGGCATCATCATACAATTATAGCCCTTCATGCGCAGTAAATCTCCTTAAGCACTTAAAATTTAGACAAGTTCAATCTTAGATGAAATAAAACAAAAATGTGCACCAGAAGTACAGGGGGCAGGAAGGAACATGTGAAGGGGGTGAGCATTTATAGAATATACAAATGTTAACTTCCAAGACAATAACTCCCCTCTGGACACAGAAATGCTAAGATTCCACACTGAAGTGGTGGAGGGATTGGCACAAAATCTTAAACCTAGATGAGCTCCATTCAGAAGGAGCCCAAAGGGAAAGACCATGGAGTATGACACCTGATGGAAGTAGCTCCATAGAGGCACACCCATGGAAGACTGCATCTTGTCTTTAACAGGGTACACTCTTTGCCCAGTAAAAAAGAAGGGAGAGGCAAAAGAGTCTGAAGTGTCACAAGGATCGGCTGAAAGTAATCATTACCAACCAAGTGCCTGCACACAAATGTGTAGTGTGCCTGGGGCTCAATCAGATAGTATAGTGTGTGCTCACCTCGACTCTACTGAACAGGTTTTGGTTGCAGAAGGAGGGCACATTCCTTATATTGGATATCTGTGTGGGATGACCCATGCTACACTGACAGTGTCACTACCACCCCACTTCTCCATGGTCCACCATCTCAGAGGCAAAGAAAAGAAGAGAGTGGAAAGGACAGGAGAAGAAAACACTCTGTGGTACCAGGCAAGGTTATAGCTAGTGGACAATAGTGCCTGATAACCAGTAACAGTGGATACTGACAAACCATGGTTGAACAACCAGGTAAAAAAGCCATAAAGATGGTTCATGGTACGATGACCGAGAAGAAAGAAGTGGTGGATGGACCAAGTATGAAAGATCTGCCAGTTATGCCGATAGACAGACAAAGTGGATGGGTGACAGGAATGTAAAAGAAGAAGAATACTACATGGTTGGAGAGTGTGGCCTAATGGGCTATGGACCAGACAAATCCCACACGTGAAGGTGAAGGAATGATATCCCTTGATCTAAAAGGAGATGTGTGGGGTTGAAGTAATAGAGTAGGGATATTGGGTAGAGTAATGGGTGGAGTCTGAGACACTAAGCAAAGAAGCAGAGAAAAGTAAGGTTGAGCTGGTCAAAGAGGTGCCACCAATAAAACTCAACAAGGAGTGTTGTGTATCAAGGTATCAAAGAGAGGAACTGAAAGAGGAGTCAAAAAAGAGGAGAGGTGTACAGAAAAATGTAAGATCAGACCTGACTGACAGCATTGACAGTCAGAGCCAAAGGATGAGGAATTGGGGACCAGAAAAGAGGAGGCTTAGAGTTGAGAAATGTGACAAAGGCATCTATGAGAGGTATGCACAACTGAGAGTAGACTGAATGAAAACTGGGGGTGGAAAGACCTTTCTGTGGACAGAAGACAGTCCAGCCAAGAGCGGTGGTCTGTCAGAAGGTTCATAGCTCTTGATAGGTAACACAATGAATCCAATGTGAATGAGCTTACAAGAGTAGACCTAATGCCTGAAAGCAAAGAGTCCTGGAACAGGTATCCCCTTGATGGTTGATGTAAGAAACAACAGTGGAATTGTCATAGTGGACTAGATTTAATTGGTCCATCAGAAATGAGAGCATGTCCAACAAACAGCGAGAAGCTCAAGCACATTCATGTGTAGTAAATTTCTGACCTGTGTCCAAATATCAGGTGTCATGTCATCATTCAGAGATGAGTCCCAACCTGAGAAGGAAGCATTGGTGAAGAAATGGAGATCTATACTGGAGGGTAGCAAGAGAACTCAGGAAGTAGTATTGCCATGGTCTAGCCACCATGACAAATCTTGTGTAGAAGAAAAGGTTGGTTCACAATCAAAGAAAATGGATCCAGAGAAAGATTCCACTGGTCCTGCAATGTTCATTGGGAGAGGTATGTACCCCAAGGAATGAGAGGTTTCAGGGAAGCCAGAGTCCTCCAAAAGTGAAAGAACCTCTCACACAGGATGAAAAAGAGAAGCACAAATTGTGTTGACTGAACACTTCATTTCTGGCAACAAAAAAAGAGAAGGTTGAAATCAGCTGAGATGAAAGTAGAAGAAAATGCCCAAATGTATCAAATATTGTGAGAAAGGACTTGGATACTTGGACAAGCCACCCCAACCAAGTAGCCTCCTATAGAAGAAGAGAAGTGTGAAAGGTGTGGAAATGGACTAATAGGAGACAATCATCCATATAAAATTGGAATCTCACACCCAGGCTGTGAAGGGTAAGCAAAGGTCTTTGTGACATGACTGAATATATAAGAGGCCGATACAATACCAAATAGAAGAGCATGGAACTGGAAGATGTGATTCTGATGGATAAAATGCAGATAATATCTGGAGGATGGGGCAATCAGAATATGGAGGAAGGAAGCCAAAACATCAACCTTGGTCATCCACAAGCCAGGTGAAAAGGACCACTAGAGACAAGAAATTCTCCATCCAGAATCATGGAATAAACAAAAAGTGATGAAGAGATGAGAGGTCAATTACTATATGCCAGTCCCCAGTCTTCTTGGGGACCTAAAAAAAGCAACAGTAAAAATCCAGAGAAGGATCATATATCATCTTTATGGCATGATTGGCCAAAATACCTGATACTGTCTCCTTAAGACATCAAAGATAAGATAAACAGGATTGGAGGGAAAAGAAAAGGAAATGGAAAGAGGGGGGTGAAGAAGAGAAGTGGAGAGAAAGACAATGGGTGAGAACTTGAAGAACTCATCTGTTGGTAGAAAAACTGTGACCAAAGGTTGGCAAACTGAGACAGATGAGTACCCAACAAGACATGCAACAGACCTGATGATTGGTATTTGGAGTACAGGAAAAAGAGAACAGTCTGAAGATGTGCAACGAGAGGTTAAGGTGTAGACTGACACAGTTGAGGAACTGGAATTGAAGGACAAAATTGTGGGAGGTGAGAAAGCAGGGAAGATACAGAGGACTGATGTTGGGCCACCTTAGCCTGAGTTTTCAGTGAATGAGGAACACCACCGAAGACATCTGGGTGAAGAAAGGGAACATAACAAAGATCATACAGATAAGAAGTAGGTAGGCATACATTAGTAAGGAGAGTATCCCTACCTAGCAAGTTTCAACAGCAGAGGAACCAAGTAAGTAGGGATAGTGCAAAAAAGTAGTACAGGCCATAGTGGTAAAAAAAAGGAATGAACCTGCTCTAAAAACCCTTCTGGAGTACAGTGAAACCCGTATGTGTATCATTATCATCCACGACAGTTGAAGTCACCATCACTTGAGAATTTGTGATAATAATTACAGCTTTTGAAACAAAAGCTAAAATAATATGAAAACCAAGTACAGTGAATAATCACAAATCTCAACATACTGAACTTAGACATGAAATCTGAACACATCTGTTAAATGCAATGCCAAGGAAAAGAATGAGATTATCATCAGTACAAGAACATAGGAGGGGATATTGAGTATTTAGGTTGTGTCACCCTCCTATTGGTGGAGAGCTATTATTGCATGATGACATCATGATGCACCACTACAGTTTACTTTAACCCTTTTACCATGGAAAGCAACTATAGTCGACAGAAGATTAAGTGTCATTGACAGCAAAGATAGACTTTTCTCCACAGCTGTCAAAAACCTTTTCCCTCTACAGCAGAAAGTGACAACCTTCCATGAGCTTGAATCAACTGCCAGACAAATATGTGTGCTTACATCTGGCAGAATGAGTGGGAAACAAAAGTTTAAACAATCCTTCAGCTGGAGCCCAGATAGAAGAAGATAAGAGGCACCCACATCATCCAAGCACAGAGATATCAGCTGATTGTCATATTTTCTCTGTGTTTTTACCATAATTTAGGTAAGTTATTGATGACATAATGTCAATGTATGCAATGTGTGTCATTTATATCATAATCCACAACACAGTGAAATATACTGATAATTTACAATGGTTTTTGATGGACGTTAATTGTGGACTAACTGTGAAATCTAATTCAGCAGTGAAAGAGTTAAACACAGAAATCTAAGTGGGACTTATCTCAAGGCTAGTGGCATGCAAATATCAGAGGCAGGCGTGTGCAAGGAAGATAGCATTTCTGTGTATAGAGGTGAGTTATCATCTCAGAAATGAACTGATTAGAATAAATCCTCTTCTCAACAGTTTTAATATTATGAAACAACAGAGTTTAATAAAGAAAACCTACCTGCAATTTTCATCAGAAAACTTACACTTTCCTTCAAGATAAAATGAACAGGGCTTCATGGCATTGCAGATTGGGTTACAAAACATTACACTGACCTGTATAAAACAAAACATGCACAATAAATAAAACAAGTAATAATACATGAAACTCATCTGTCTACTGAAATATTATGACATGATTTTGAATTGGTACAAAACATTACACTGATCTGTATAAAATAAAACACGCAAAATAAATAAATAGTTTGATTTCAAGATATTTTTGAATTTATTCCTCAACACATAACTGTCTTTACCCACAAACAGGAAACTGACACAGAATGACAGATTTGAAACATCCTAATCCATTTGAAGAGGAGTGTAAATGCAATTTAGAAAAGTTTTAAAAATACTGTTAAGTAATGATAGATGAATATCAAAAGGAGGCTTTATCCTCACGAGCCATCAAACTGTGAGGGAGAAAACAATCAGGAGAAAGGAGAAGATATGTAGAAGGATATAGAATATGTGAAACATCGATGGCAAATAAACAGATCATCAATGTCCACAGGCGAATAGGAGAAGGAAGAAAGACATAAGGGAAGGTGAAACAAGGAGCACTGGGAGAGTGGCTTGAATGTAGGCAAAGTGAAGCAGTGCAGGACCATATTAATATCCCCATCCAGAAGGGCAGCCCACCACGGTGGATGACAAATCTGAAGAAACACATCCACAGGCAAAGTGTACTAGAGGGAAATACCTGTGGGATCGAGAAAAACAAAAGGTGTAGGACAGGACCACTCAAAAATCCAAGACCGAAGAGACAGAAGACCCCCAATCCAAAAGTCAAGAGAGGATATCTGCATGATGAAGAACAGTGGGTTGATCAGGGAAAACCTTGGACCCAGAAACCAAGAATGGAAAAATTACATTTGCATTGAGAAACTTCCATGTAGGAAGTGCAAATGAAACAAACCAGAAAAGAGGCTAACCCTTGGGAGAAGCCAGAAAACCAGACATGAAGACAGAGGACAGAAAGGTCTAAGTGAAATACCAGAGCCTAAGGGTGGCAAAGAAGACAGAGGAAAAGGTAACAGAAGAGGAAGTTGGAGCTGAGAAGTCACAGAAACCACAGCTGAGACAGCCAAGAAAAAGCTATCAGAAGGACTGAACACAAGTGTCAATGAACGAAATAATTTGAAGAAAGAGAATGGGAGGATAGACAAATATGTAGGTCCAATCTTGGCTGAAAACATCGGTAGCCAGAGCAAGAAGATGAGGAACCGAAGACCAGAACCAAAGCAATTTGTGGTTAAGGGATGTAGCAAAAGCATCAATGTGAGGAGTACCCCACTGAAGTCAAAGCCACTGGAAAACAAAAGGATCCAGAGACCACTCCATTGGATAAATGTTGTCTGGAAAGAAATCTGATCCACGACAAGAACAAAAGCACGCGGAATATAACATGCAATGATAGGAATATTGAGTGTATGGGCCCAAAAAGAAGATCCAACATACGAAAATGGAGGGATGAAGAACAGTGCCACCCTGGTGATTAAGATAAGCAACAAATGAAGAAAAGTCAGAATGGATCATTACCAGACGATTTCTGGCCAGATGGAGAAAAATGAATCAAAACATGCCCTACAGCAAGAAGCTCCAGAATGTTGATAGGATAAGACCTCTCGGCTGCAGGACAGAAATCCTGCGAATTCCACTGACCTAAAGGGCTAAGGCTACCATGGAAGATCACATCCCCAAAAGCAATAGAACTTCACAAGCTGTAATCAAACTGAAAACCTATTGAACAAGCAATCTTATTTGTAACAAGCAAACAGCAGCCAGTTGACCAAATAAAGAGGAAAGCACAACCCAAGAGCATATAAATGACAAACAAATGCCTAGAATGCCTGACATACAGGGCCGAAGCAAGTCTGAAGGGCAGTGCTTGAAACAGAGAAACCAGCCCATGGAGAATAAACCAAAGAGAGGGTCATGAGTGACAAAATATCAGGATATGTAAAGAAGCATTCATGACATTCCTCTTTCATCGATAGACCTGGAGAAAAAGCTCACCTAAGGGTGAGAAACAACTCCAAGGTAAAACGAGGAAGATTGAAAATTAGAATGAGGCAGGACAAACCTAGTACAGGCCACCAGTCTCCTGTTTGGTGCAAGGATAACAAACAGCCTGGAATAAAAGCCTGGGGAAAGATGATGAACAGTTGCAATGGCCTATACAGACAGAAATTCCTGTATCACCTCGGACAGATGCAGGGTGGTGGCAGGATCCCAAGTCATGGGGAAGGAAAAAAGTACCAGGTACAAAGGAGGTAGGGAAGGAATTGGATGACAAGTCCCTCTGATAAAATCCAAAGAACCCGTGGAACTGTAGTGAAAGATCACCAAAGGGTAACAATATAATATAGTCAAGCTCCCAATGGACTGGATCCTTCTGGTTAGTCTCCAGTACAGTTGGTGACATACCCATCAATGTTGAATAAAACGATGAAATGAGAAACCCCTATAAGGGGGAAAGGGATAGGTAGATAAGGACCAGGACGGGAAAGAAATGGGGGCATGTTGTGGCTCCAACTGTGACAAATGTGCAACTAAAGAGGAAAGTGTTGATGCACAGATTATACACAAGTTTCCAAAGTCACAGATACACGATTGAAAATATATCATCAAAGAAAAATACAAAAATCCCGAACAGAAAGAAGTGGCAAAAGAACCCGGGACAAGGTCGCATCATGACCCAGAAAATCCCAACAACAGTAAATTCACAAGTGTAAGACAGGAGCCGTAGATGAAAAATGAGCCAACATGGAAGTAATCAGGGATCATAGGAAAATGGAGAATTGAATAAAACATAACATACCTGAGAAATCATGTCGAAAACTGATGTATTAGGCCTAGCTGATTCTGCAGGAGGGGTAGCGTAAAACACAGCAAAATCCGGGGTGTAAAAAGGCTATCAAAGCTTCATCGGCCCAAACAGATTCAGATGGCTCAGGAGGATTAGTAGTTCACCCATATAACAAGCAATCTCACAATGGATAATAGCAGAGAAATTCAACAATGGGTCTCCCCCACCTGCAGTCTGTGAAAATAGTTCTAGGGGTAGACACCCGAAGTGGGAACATGAACCTCATAATTCACTGTAGAGATACATAAATCAAACAAAAGTGTTTGATGTGAAATCTGCAAGAGGAAAAAAAAAAGACTGGAAAATTAAGTTAAATTAAAAGATTTCTTAAAGTAAAAAAAAATAACAATAATGAAGAAATCCCACTTTGGCAATTAAACTATGAAAATCACAATTCACACGAGGAGCACCAAGAGAAAAAAATGTCTGAACACGAGTACTGCCAAACAAGAAGTGATAGTTTGGCAGACTTGAATAGAGGGAGCTACATGCATCATGAGAGTATGTTGCACTCTTATTGGTGGAGGGTTGTTGCATGATGATATGCATGAGAGATGCATTGGAATCACTCAATTCCAATGGAGGGGAGATAGAAGGCTTGTGGCATGCATGAAAAAATTGCATATAGAGGGCAGCACTGAACGAGAATAGCTATTCATGTGAGAAGAGGTAAGGTACTGTATTGGAATCATTATCTTTATTATATGTAGGAGAATGTTATGTTCTTCTAATGAAACATTTAAGTGAAAATTCTAAAAATAAATCTTAATAAGAACTTTAAAAGTTTACATTATGTAGTTTGTTAAAATAACCTTTATATCCTCAGGAGTTTCTGGAGAAGTTTTCTGTTCCACATGGTATGAAAGAACTATTGCATTATGATATGAGAGTTCACCCCACTCTCGGCTAAACGGAGCTCGACATTTGGTGCCTGGGAGAGATGACAACATAACCATGATATCTTCATCATTATCCTGATCTGAACTGCTGATTCTAGTTTCATTTTTAGGTTTCTGTAGGTCAGTAGTTGAGAAGGAAAATCCTTCATCTAAAGAAGCCATTTCTGCCTGGAAAAGAAAAAGACGAAAAATAGGTTTAAAATAAGTTCATAACTATGCACATATTGTGATCAAACACATCTATTAGGTCGTTTAGAAATTAATATAACTTTTTTTTTTTAGATGAAAAACCCAAACAACTTGTATATCAAAACAAAACATTTATTAAATGAAATAGTCTCCATTCTTATGATTGATACTTTTCCATCTTACAGTCAGGTTGTTAATTCCCTGATTAAAGAAATCACTTGGCTTTGAAGCAAAAACATGTTTATGTCCTCTTATACCTTCCACACTTGCATACGTTTTCCCATTAAGATGGTGTTGCAGCGAACGAAAAAGATGGTAATCTGATGGTGCCATATCTGGAGAATATGATGGGTGGGGGAAAACTTCCCAACTCAAATCCATAATCTTGTGTTACATCAAACGTGTCACATGTGGACATACATTGTCATGGAGAAGAAGGGCACCTTTCCCATTGACGAGTAAAGGGTGTTTCTGATGAAGGGCTTGATTTAAACATTCCAGCTGCTGATTATAGATCTCTGCATTGACAGTTCACTGTGGATTGAGGAGTTTGAAATGAATTACTCCTTTGATTTCCCACCAAATGCAAAGCATCCCTTTCTACAGATGGAGTCCAGGTTTTGGGGTTAGAAGTGGTTTTTGTCTAGGACCGAGCCATTGTTTTTGGTATTTAATATTCGCATATTGAATCCATTTTTCATCACCATTGACAATTCAGTCCAAAAATGGTTCACACACATTACGTGCCAGAAGAGACGAAGCAACATTCACACGTTGGAAATGATGATCATTGGACAGTTCATGAGGCACCCAAACACCTTCTTTATGGAGTTTTCCCATATTACTTAGATGTTTACGTATTGCTTCATGAGAGATATGCAATTTCAGGGCCAATTCATGAGTGTGTTGCCTTGGGTTAGACTCAACAAGCACCTTCAGAGCATCAATATCAATTCCAACATGTCAGCCCTGCCATCACAGTTTTTAAAGCTAAAGTCACCTGAACAAAATTTGTTGAACCATCGTTGACACTTACGAACGTTTAAAACATTTGCATAAACTTCTTTGATATTCTTTGTGGCTACAGAGATGTTGTTTCCCTTCTTGTATTCAAACAGCATTACATGCCAAATGTGTGTCTCATCATATGCCATCATTATAAGGGATTAGAGTGAACTAAACTTTACACATTATATAGGTTACAGTAATGTGATGTTTAGGCAGTTCGTTTACCTATTATACGTGATGTACAATTTGAATGAAAGCGTTTCAAAATATGACATTCATTTCTTGATGACCTAATATAAAGTTAAGTCCATAATTATGCATGTTGTGACCAAACACATATGTGAGAATACGTTGTGACCAAAAACGTTAGGAGCAAGGCAATCACAGGTCTTAAATACAAAATTCTTCATCAGTAAAAGCTATCCTATTTCAAAGTACAACAACATTTCTTTATAAGGACAGCATCTCCAATGATTACATCACTAAAAACTAAAAAGAAAATGACACAGGTTGTGTTAATAAAACTAAAACCAATGAGGTCACAAAAATAAGCAAATCTGTTGATTCTTGAAAATGTTTTCTCACTTCAATAACTGTAGAAGCTATTACATTTTCACATAAGTTAAGGAATGTAAACCTGTGAGTTGGTGCTTTTAGGACTGTGTTTAGAGGTTTGTTCACTAGCCAGGAATTTGAAGGTAGTTCAAAACCAGTGGTTTCCAAACTGTGTTGCAACACACTAGTGTGTGACAGCAAGTTGCAACAGTTTCAACAAATAAAAAACAAATACAAACATACATAAAAAATTTATTGAATGTGGTGGCACAAGTTCCATGCAAATCAAGTGGGTTTGGGTGTCGTCAGTAAAAAAAATTTGGAAACCGCTGTTCTACACATTCAAAGGTTCATCAGGTGGCATTTTTTTTTATTTTGAAAATAAACCATTCAACAATGTTTAAATAGTAATCATACATTAAATGTCACTCAAATAAAGAATAGAGTACACCTTACTTACACATAAACATTATCTGTTAGCTTGTATTACTGTTGTAAAAGAAATTTGTTTGGAAAATGAAACAGTATAATATGCTAGTTTTTTCTCCAATTTTCCCTAGCAAAACATTTGACTAAAAAACTGCCGACTGCCAAGGTTATGTTGTGTCACCCTTGTTTGTTTCGTTTTCATATCTTTTTAGAATGCTTAAGCTAATAGCATGAAATTTGGTATACACCTTTTACATAACATTAATTTGTACTTCAAATAATTTCTTCAAATTTAATTTTTCTAAGTAAAATATAACATTCTAGGTATAACATATAAAGTATAAAATTCTAATCTTAGTATTTTTAACATCTAATAACAGAAAAATTTTGAAATCATGATCATGGCCTAAATAACATCCTAATGATTTTATGAAAGTAAGCAAAGTCAAAATGATATAAAGCCATTTTGTCTATCAATATCTCTTTCTGTACCAGACAAGAAAAACCTAACCTAAAGTCTAAAACCCATTTAAACAGCAAACTTCAAGGCCAAAAGATTCAGCAGTTTAGTAATCTGTTACAACGTTATATAGATATTCAGATCACTTAACTTCTGAATCTTGTGACACTATTTCCTTATTTCTCATATTCTTTCCTGTTACAGCATAACAATGATCAACATATCATATACATCATGTTCTACAGGAAAGAATATGAGAAATAAGGAAATAGTGTCACAAGATTCAGAAGTTAAGTGATCTCAATATCTATATAACTACACCATAACAATGATCAACATATCATATACATCATGTTCTTCAGTAGAAATGACCAATTAGTAAAACTTGAATTACATTTCATGAACTTCAAGGCCACAAGACTCATAAGATGGACCAATTTTACAAGGGTGTGTGCTTGTGAAATAGAACAAATAATACTTTAATCATGTAATTCAGCATTAAAAATGTTATTTATCATTGTCAGGGATAACTTTAAGTTATTTCAAAAACAGTTTAATATTTAAATATTTTTTATTTTAGTTTTGGTGGAGTATGTGCTAGTTTTACCTGAAAACGTGCAAATTCGGCATCCATTTCAGTTAGACCATCTGCATTTGGATTACATGATTCACTTTTTTCATCAGTGGTTTGTTGAATTAATTTATTCACAGATGAACACATACCTTCTGTGTTGGGATTATAAGATTCAAATTTTTCATCAGTGGCTTGTTGAATTAATTTATTTTCTGCTGAACACAGACTTTCTAGAAGAAAGAAAACTTCTTTAAACTTTGTTTTAAATAGACATACATATGTATCAGAAACTATGAAAAAGTAGCAATTATAAGTGAGGTTATACACTAGGTTTTTTTTTATCTTGTTGATGTTTTTCTTTTTAAATACAACATAAAAGAAACTAATCGTTTTTCATCTCCTTAAACAATCAACACAATAATTCTCAGTCTAGAAACCAGTAGGCTCATAACTGTATTCCATTCTTAGAAATACAAACTTTGAGAAACATTTTCTTCAGATTAATTTCTAGCTTAGTAAGTAGCATTGTTTTTGGGGTAGCAGTACTATAATGGTGGTTTCTGAAAGACTCATTCTTTGATTTTTTGTTATATTAATTTTTAAGCTTAGTCATAAGTATTGTTTAGAGGTATCATCATTATAATGGTGGTTCCTGAAAAACTCATTATTGCAAGTGTATTTGGTTAGTACTTTGAACCATAAGGACTAGAAATTAAAAGTGAAGAACTATCAACAAAAAGAAAGTTTGTACAATTAAAAAAAATCCCAATATTGAAAGTGACTTTGAAGGAGAAAATGGTGTTCATTAACAAAAAAGTGAATAGTCTTTGAAAAAGGTTCAGAAGAATATCATGGAGTTTACTTGTTGATCATGCTTTCTGCAAGAAATATCAATCTGCTTTGGGGACAGTCTCAGAAATCAAGAAAACCAAGCTAGGTGAGATTACAGATATTAAAAAAAAGAAAACCAAGCTAAGTGAGATTACAGATATTTAAGGTTAACATTTTTTCTAACTGAAAATGTATTTCCAATAGATACTTACCTCCCACACATAAAGCTTTCTTGACTTATATTGCCCTCTATCAGTGCAAATTTTTTGCTCACCACTAGCCTTACTACTCCCACTTATTACTGCATACTAACATGCAAATGATCATGCAGTAACCCTCCATCAATAGATTTATGACACTACCCCTATTGTAACTAGTGCCCTCTATAATCATGTTAATCACTTCAAGATTGGTTATAACCAGCCAAACAAATTCACACTGGAAATGGGAAGGACAGATGGGAAATGTGAGCAGAGGTAAATATCCATCGGAAATACATTTTCACCTTAGGAAGTGCCCAAAGGAAGACCATGAGGTGTGATAAGGAAAAAAACAACACACCAATCGCACCACTTCTGAGCCAGATATACTCTTTGCTCTATAGTAATGTGTGAGTAATAGTAAGGTGGGAACTTGGAAGGGTTCCAAAAAAAACACAGAAATAATGGGACCCCTGATGTAGAGTGGCTAGGACATGACAGACCGTAAATGGGAGTTCAATTTCAACCAACACTTGGCAGCAGCTGGAATGGTACATCAGGTCATAGGTAGAAAGAGAGTCCTCTACCTTTCACCTCAAAAATGGATACCAGCAGGGCAGAAAGAGGAGCTTCTGTACCAAGAACCCATCTCTGCATGTGTGCACCGCCAACACAACCAACACCAGAGCCACCAGGAATCGACATCCGGCACATGATAAGAAGGAGGAGAGCCTAGGTAGGCATTGGGAATTTGACCGACCAGTCTGCAGTAGGAGGAGGACACCCAGTCTCACACAAGTGGGAAGTTAACATTTTGCTAAACTGAAAATATATGTCCAATATGTCCTCTCACACTTATAGCTGTTACTCAACTGCCAGGGTTAATTCCTTTGTCCATCTAAGCACTGGTCTAATCTTTTTCTCCCTTGCTCCAGTTTTCTATATCCCACTTAATTGCCCTTGGCAATATCTGTCTCATGACACTCTCCACCTATGTCAATGCACCCTCTATCCTGGTACTGAATATAACCACCCCATTTAGATAATGTTATCACATTTTTGAGACTGACTCCAATCCAGTCTCTAACACCGGCCCTTAATGGGGAGAAAGGGCAGGAGAGTGCAAAAGGAGGTAAAAATTATTGGAAATACATTTTCAATTTAGGAAAATGTTAACTTCCAAGTCATACATACCTCTGCTCCCACTTATAACTAGAATACCACACTGAGATGGTTGAGGGGCCGGTGAGAGCATTATCCATACAGAAAGCATCTACATAGATCATGAGAATGTCAATAGAATATTGGCACCCTAGTGGGGGGAACCACACTACATCCAGAACAGGTACGCTCTTCACCCTAAACTTAATTTCTGTATTGTGGGTGGAACAGAACATGAGTGATCCTCACTATAGGCCAGCCCCAACCAGATAGCTGAGGTTCTACTACTCTGGGTTGGAAATAAGGGAGTCTTTGTCCCTATATCCTACACTGGTGGCTAGAGCAATTGGACCACAACGTTATATATATATATATACATGTATATACATACTTATGAGTGGATCCCAATCTCTAGCCATAGAGTGATGCATTCCAAGCCACCAGAATCATAAAAAGAAAGTAAGTGGACAAACCTTCTCTTCCATCTGAAGAAGCCAGAAAGGCAACACCTCAGGCTCGGAATGATGGGATCATGTATGCCTAACTCAACCAAAGGAAACAGAACTCATCTGGTCTGGAATTATGAACATTCATCCTCACTCCCAAACCATGTGAGTCAAAGTACGTTACATTCCACTTGCCCCGGAATTATAGGGAGGACGTGGAACAACTGTGCTCAACCAAGGACCCAGGACAACTCCATTTTCGGAATTATGAGTAGATATTGGACCCTTTTCCATGAACAATGTACTGAATCTATATTGATCAACAGAAGGGCCATGCACACCCCAACCTAATAGTGAAGCATCAAATTTGAACCAGTATTACAAGTAGGCTCCTGCAGAGACTGTTGCCACTCCTACAGACATCTGGGAAAAACATCCAGAGATGTGGGGAGTAGGCCCCCTAACTTCGCCCTCTTCTTAAAGAGTGAAGGAATTAATTGTGACACTCTGGAGGAAAAGCTTCTGTCCACCACCCCCAGCGACTGGAAACCGGGTGTGGTAAGGACTCCCTAGCTCCAATAGTATAATCTGGGAGAGAGGATAATGTGCACTGGGGAGCCCTGAGGAACAGTGCAACAGGTGAACCAAGTTCCTTAACCTTTTCAATGCAAACCAACCCGGATTTATTCAATCTGATAATTGGTAGGGATGGACATGATACCCTTATTCTTTACTCATCATAGTCCATGAGAAGTGGTCCAGCATAGTACATTAATATCACCTGGTCAGCTCCTAGGTGGTTTTATGGAACAGCTCATTTCTACAGAGCCTGTTGCAACCTGTATAAAGAATATTGAATTAGTGATTATTAGTGTAGAATTGGTTTGATAAAAGCACACCTGCCTAGGCAACACTTGCCAGAAAGTGGGATCTTGTGAAAACATGTTAAGGGACCCTGAAAGGTAGCAATGAAAATACTCACCCCCCTCTGTATAATCTAGCAGAAATGGTTAAGATAGCTACAGGGGGTAGGTAAAAATCCTCAGATGAAGAGCTTGCCAAATCATGCAAATAATATGAGATAAAGGAGGAGGTCCACATACCAGTTACACAATGACCTCCAGCAGGCAATTCGACCAATCTGCTAAGGACATAGAATTGTGACAAATCTGATTAGACATGACTCACAGAAGATCCCTCACGTTCAAAGAGAGCCCGGGATAAAAACATCTCTAACATCTCTAAAGGCATAAAAGCAGGCAACCAAACCTTAAAGACCCTCACAGAATATGACTACAATCGAAATCTGATCAGACATAGAAGTTAGAAATAGTGATCAGATTAATCGGTAAATAGAACTTTAAACATTTTCCTGTCTGACAGTGTCATGGGTATGAAGAACTGGTCTGAGGATGTAAAGAGAATGAGAAGACAGTCTGAGGACAAACATTGCAAATCACTCTAACTGGTGATGTCTGTAGGTCAGCAGCCTTGAAAAATAAACCTTCAGGTAAAGGGGATATATGGCATATAAGTCAGGTCACAAACAGGTGTTGAGAAAGAGCATCTAATGTAATCTTAATATACCTTTTAGGTAACTGGAATGGACATTTGGGACCAAGGATCCAAATAGACAACTCTGAAAGCTACAAATCAGGTCCAATGATATTCTGGTCAGTTTTGACGTCACAGACCTATTTACCAATGTTCCAACCTCAGAAACCCTTCACATCACCAAACAACGACTCCTGAATGACAACTCTCTACCACACAGAACTGACATGAAGGTAGACACCATCAAACTAATGACTATTTGCCTACAATCAACTTATTTCCAATACAACGAGGAATTCTAGGAACAAACAGATGGTCTAGCCATGGAATCACCACTCTCTCCAATTCTAGCAGACATTTTCATGGAAGACTTTGAAGAAAGAGCCCACTCATCCACACATATAAAACCACGTTTTTAAAGACGTTATGTTGATGACACCTTCATTATTTGACCAGCCTTCTTAGAACATCTTAATTCTATAGACAAAAGAACCCACTTCAGCATGGAAATAGAGAAACAAAACAGCCTACCATTATTTGACATACTCATCAGCAGACAAGAGAGAAAAATCACCACAACTGTATACAGAAAATCCACCCACATAAACAGATACCTACACTTCCAGTCCTATCATCAAACCTCAATAAAACGTGATATAATTCAATACCTAAACAAGAGAACACAAAATATTTGGGATAAGACATCCATCAAAACAGAATGCCAAAAGATTGTAGTGTTTTAAACAGAATGGTTACAACCCCTCTTTCATCAAAAACTCCATGAAGAAGACCACTACAGAGAGAAAAGATCAGAAAAACACTACCACTACTACCATTTACCTCCCCTACCTGCAAAATTTCAGTGAGAAACTCAAATGCATAGCCAAGAAATTCAACATAGAAGTCTGGAAATCCTACAAGACAATAAGATCCATTCCAGTAAAAACAAACAGCAACCTACCAATAAGAAACTTAAAAATGTCATTTATGAAATTCTGTGTTCCTGCAACCTAACATACATTGAAAAAATGGGAAGAAGACTTGCGACAAGAAAAAAAGAACATAAAGACAGTACAAGACTCATGAAAATTCAGCCATTGCAGAACACACCATGTCAAATGGTCATAAAATAAACTGGAAAGAACTAGAATCATCAAAACAGACAAATTTTGAAAGACAAGAAAAATTAAAGAATCATTTTACATTAACACAATTAAACCTTCACTAAACAGAGATTCCAGATTAGAGATGAGTAACCTGTGTCTACCACTGGTTGAATCTACAGGAAACCTCTCCACCAATCAGAAACAGGGATAAACCGACCAATCATAACACACTCTCCACAATCCACCAGAATGCTATAAAGACCGACTACACCATACACACACTGACCTAACGACGAAAGGTGGAAGACTTTTGAAATGTTGTCTCTACACAATGTTTTAGCCCTTCTTGGTCTTCAGTAGGCAATGACTGCCTTTGTTCTAGGCTTATTAAGGGGAAAATCATCAGGCTTCACTCTGATATTTCCATGGTGGTGTCTTGTGTTTTTCATCAAGGAGACACTTGGTTCAGGGCTCCTTTTTTTGAAGTTTTGGATCTCCTTTCTTGGGACCATTCCTGTCTTATCATCTTACTAGCTTACCATGTTTCAAGGATGATGCTTGTGGTAGCAGGTCATTTGTTTCAATCCTAACTGATTCTTCCAACAGAATAGATGCTTTTACAGAAGTATAGAGGAAGCCTCTTTGTCCGTGCATAGACGTTGGAATTCCTGACTGTTGGTATATGCACCCCATCCTTGAGGGAAGGCATTTGTGAAGAGATGGAACTCTGGAGAAGGTGGCGGTAGAGGAACTCGTATCATAGTAGTGTCTCGACTTAACAACCCCTCAAGATCGAAGAATAATCCCGACTAAGGAAACTGGGAAAACCAGTGAATTAATGTTTATAGTCACTTGGTCGCATAAAGACCATTAAAAGGATCTCTTGTGCTCTCGTTCCAAAGGCGTAAGGGATTTAAGTGATGGCCACATTCCTAGAAGAGAAATAACCATCCATGCAGTGGAAGAAGGAGAGGTGAGTAAGATCCTGGCATCTTATTCATAGCATTGAGCCAGATGGGAGTCTACTGAGCCCAACCGAGAATCGAGTTGAAATATAAAAAATACCCAGACTGATGACATATTGAATTGGAGCAAGTATAGATATCAGCCCTTAAAATGAAGCCTGCTTTGGTTATTTCTGAAAGTAGAACCAGGATGTGATGTTCTGACAATTGACGAGATGGTGTCTGCAGTAACCAATCATCCATGGAATGGTGTGTTCACAGTGCGATGGAATGGAAGTGAAGAGAAAAACTCGTATGATACGGCCAAACCCATGTGAAATCGAAACAAGATGACATGGCCTTTTACCTATGACCTGTCGTGAAAGGGTTACGAGTTTCAAGCCAGAACCAGTCTTCATGTCCTTTCGTATTACAAGTTAGACAGTTGTGCTGAGAAGTAAGTTGAAAACCAGCTATATTTCTTAAACAAGTATACTTGGATTCTTTAGAATAATATGTTACAATTGTTTTACTTATTTTTAGCATATTATGCTAATCAAAGCCTAATTAAGTAAGGATTGTGTGATGACTTGACATACATATTCCTATCAATTTATTCAACTGTTATCATATATATATAAATATGAAACATTAGAACTTGTATTTTTTAGTGATACTTGTAGTTGTAAGGAAGAAGAAAAGAAGTGAACTTAATGGGTTAAAGTACATTCTCTCAATTTGCTTGTTTTTTACAATAAAACTGATAATGTTTAGTAATTTGCAAGTGATACTTTGAATTTCTAAGGAAGTAATTTTAATAAACAATTACTTTCATACAGAAAACTATATGACGTGTTTTCATTATCCTTTAGGTAAAAATGCAACATTTTTACCTTTGGTCAAATGTATTACTTCTTCCAAGTTGGCTTTCAACTCTTCCAAGTCAGATATTTGGTCCTTACTGGCAGTTGCTAAGGCTGATATGACAGTCTGAAGCTAGAAAAATTAAAGAGGAAGTTTTGTGTCAGCTTTCAGTATTAGTGATTAAGTCTGTTGAATTTACTTCATGATAAAGTCACTTGATCTTATACTAAATCACAAGAGTTCTCTCAAAAAATTACAAGTTAGCTTTTACAAACTCAACACTAAATCTTAATCATATGCATTTCAAAGTTTTAAACATATGTACAGTATCTAAAAATCAAGGAAGGAAAAATGGAAGCTTTACAAACAAAATTATTAATTTAATGAAACTAAATAAATAATACAAAATACTCGTTAAAACAAATTAACTTTCACATAAACTGTATTTAACACAGAAAGATATATATTTAAAAAACAGGAAAACAAACAAAATACTCTTTAAACCAAAGCAATCTTCACATAAACTGGATTTAACACATTAAGATATATATTCTTAAAAATGGAAAACAAACACAATACTATTTAAAACAAAGTAATCTTCCCATAAACAGGATTTAACACCATGTATTTACAGACCAAGTCACAAAACCAGAGGAAATCATGTAAACATTTTACCTAGTGACTCCTACATTATATCAATCATCTATGTTAACTCTGGATGATCAAGCCAGTGAAAATAGAATTTAACAATGATTCCAAACTGCTTTTTCTGAGAAAAGGAAACCCATCATTTGAGAAGACTAGTGTGCAGTTTTTTTTTTAATAGAGTCAAACTTGACCTTTATTTGTTATTCTGTGCCTCAAGAGTTGGAGCTGCTGCCATTACATTTTATTTTACATTAATAATATTTACAGGGCAGTAAAATAGGAAATGTTTGCTTATTACATTAAATTATTTGATATTTCTAACAATGCTGTGGATGTTTAGGTACTACAGAATGATTTAAATCAGTTGATAAGTTGGAAAAATATTTGGCAAATTATTTTTAATTATAGTAAGTGCAAGGTAATACATATGGGTTATCATTATTTGAATCACACACTCAATATCGATGTCAACTCACACTCACTAGTATGGCTGAAGAAAAGGGCCTTGGTATAGTACTTAATAAATCACTTAAGCCACTGGGACAGTGATATGTTCGAGTAGCAAAGCCAGTAAAATTTTAGTGTGTAATAAATTATAGACATATCGATTATAAGACAAAAGAAGTTATTATCTCTACACAAGTCAATAGTTAGGCCTTAGAATACTGTCTTTAATTTTGTTCTTGATACTTATCTAACTTCTAAGAAAGGATACTAACTTAATAAAATGAGTTCAGAGAATGGCAACTAAGATCACTTTTGAGAATGATGGGTTATCTTAAGAAGACAGGTTAAGACAGTTCTGAAACAGTTTAAATTACAATACCACACTTCATGTTTTAAAACCATAGACATAATTTGTTAAAAGCTTATCTAGATAAAAAGAATAATAAAATTAAAACATGTCTTAAACCTACTCATAAAAAAAATATTGCTTCTTCTTTTCCTTTTTGTGGCTGGGCAGATCTTAAAACCTCAATTTCTGCAGCTGCCCAATGAGAGGTGAGGGTAAGAAAACACAACAGGGATGGAGGGAATATTGTACTTTGTGAACTGTCTTGATCAGATGGTTCTCCAAGTTAAATTTAAAGGTAATGATATATAATGGTAAACCATGCACCTCAAACTCATGGGGTACAGAGAAACTGGGACAATTTGATACTTTATTGTTTCTTATTGTCCTTGGAATCAATAATTTCCTGAAAAATATAATTGGGTTAAGTTGTTAATTTTCTTGGTGATGGGTGTGAAAGGGCAGCCTTGAAACTTGAGACAAATTAGTCCCTAACTGCCTATATCACTATATGTTAAATGTTAACACAATACTTGTAAACTTTTTGAATTTAATGCACCACTTTGTAAAAGTAAACACCAATGTTTTATTATTATTTTAAATGTTATTTGAAGATTTTTTTCTAAAATAGAATAATTTATGATAGGTACATATAACGACTTGTAAAAAAAAAGACACTGGGCATGATATTGATACTAATACTAATAATATTAACTTTGTAAGACCAGTATCTTCTTCTGTCAGAACATAGAAATATTATTGTGCTTTCGCTGCTAACATTTCTCGAACTTGATCAATTTGTTTATTATAATGTCACTATACACAGCGTGGTCACAAGTAAATAGACACCACCTTTCCAGAAAAAATGAAAATTTTCAGTCATATTCACATGAATTGATATATTTATAATTTAATTAATATCTAGTAGATCTTCCTTTCACTTTGTGGAGTTCATTGATCCTTTGGGGCATCGTGAGAATCATCTCGTCAGTTTTAGATTGTGGGATTTTCGCCCACTCTTGCTTCAAAACTCGGAGTAGATCGCTCTTCGAAGTTGGTTTTTTTATTGTTTCTTGACTTGCCAGTCAAATATGGCCCAGAGGTTTTCAATGGGGTTCATGTCAGGAGATTGGCTCGGCCAGGGCAACTTCTGGGTACCATTTTCTTCCTGCCACTTTTGGGTGTTTCTAGCAGTGTGACACGGTGCTCCATCTTCCTGGAATAATGTTGTGTTCTTGTCTACGAAACCCGAGGAATAAAGTGGCAAGAGTCCTTCCTCCAATATGTCGACGTATTTTGCAAAATTTATGTTGTCAACACACTCCACTAAGCTTGAACTCCCACCAACCCAAACAGCTCCCCAAACCATCACGCTGAAACCACCATGCTTCACAGTTGGGTGCAATCTGTTGAACCAAAACTCTTGGTGAGGCATTCTCCAGACCCATATCCTTCCACTGTCCGAAAATTGAACGAATCTTGAATCGTCTGAGAACAATACGGTCTTCCAAAAGTCCAGAGGCTTGGTCATCATATCACTTGCCCACTTCTTTCGTCTGACTATGTTGGCAGATCTTAA